AAGGTCCCGGTTTGACATGAACATTATTGTTAATCGTGGTTGCGGAAAGATTAGTAAAGAGTGAAAAAATTCAACTGCGGCTTTATGCAAATGATTGTATTGGTTTGCTAATGACAAATTTATGTATGTAAACACATAATTACGCATCTTTTGTACACGGACTTGGCAGGACATAATACAACACAGATCAGTTTAAAGCAAGGAGAAAAAAGTACAATTATCTTGCCCATTCAATGAATCACAAGCCTACGAGCTCCATTTTCCTGCATGATACAGTCTCATGTAAGCGTCTAATTCCTCGACAATGGTGACATTCGTCACTTGACGCCATTGCGGTTAGTTGGATATGGCGTGAGGTGGACCAGTAGCTTCTTTCCGTCTTCATCTGCTGTGGGGTTTTCCGCGTTGACTCATGTTTTTTGGATGATAATGGAATACAAAGGCCAACTTTTTTCATCACCAGTCTGTCAAGTGTCTAATTATAACGGTGTGGCGTTTTAGTTAGGCGTAGAGCGTGTGTGTGCGTATGTACGGGAGTTTATTCTCACCTGTTAATGTGCGAGGATACATTGGCTCAGTAACAGCTGGTGTAGGCACGAGTAGAAATTTCCCCTGTCACCTTGGTATCCACTTATTCTATCCTCTAATGAGGGGTAATTTTTTAGCGGTCAAGTCTAGAGGGTCCTCCTCCACTGCCTTCGCCGAGGTGGTTCATTGTCAGAACCAAGGTATCTATTTAAAATATTTCTGGGTATGAAATACCCACTACCGTATACCCTTCAAATGCCTTAGTAAATGCTGTCCAGTTCTCACCTGGAGTAATAAAAAAGATACGATCTCACGCATTGGTAAGCTGGAGGGAGAGAAGGAGGTGGTGCAGAGGGGGAGTGGAGGAATGGTTCGTGAAAGCACAACAGTTGGCTGAATGCTGGAGACAAGTAATGTTTGCGTTTTCGCGTATTTATATCATTTTGATCAGTCTTGACCTTATAGTGACAATCTATACGTACGTGATATTTCCTAACCAGGAGGAGTGAACGAGATCGCGTCCTCCCAAAATGTTCGGAAGTTGGAGGAAAATTTGCAAAAGTCGAAACAGAAATGTTTTTCTTGCAGGGGGGAGGGAGAATTGCGAGTTAAGGGCAGTCCCGGTATCAGGCAGCTGCTAAGGCACTGGGAATGAACACAATCTCCAAATTAGTTTTAGATGACACTACGATAGGAGAGTTCAAAATGCCAGGTGGATGGCATAATCGAAATCCTGTATCACGCATCCATTTAAACAACGGCATACATTTTGTGATTCCCCATAGGTTTCACCGAGGTGTGGCAAAGAGTTGCATCGAAATGTCGTAGCAATGCCATAGAGCTACACTGTGGCATACTACTTATACACTGCCATGCATTTCAGTAGTTTCGTCGTTTAAAATTTTGGAATCTTTCCGTTTTTTGTAGTGTCAGCAAAAAAGTGTCATTAACAATCAGATACACCTAAGTCACTTTAAAAACAGTTTGTTGTTTAAGAAACTAAGGAAAATTAGGAAAGGACATGATTAATTAATTAATTACTTTATTCCTATAGTGCTTACTAAAATTGGTGGGCACAATCACATTCTCGAGCCTAATTTTTCCTTTAAAGTTGACCGATTGAATTATGGAGAAAGTCACGCTGGATAAATAAAGCAGTTCTGCCTCCAAATTGTGGAATTTGTGTCAACCCACCCCATGCATAATGAGAGGACCTGGGAGTTTGACAGTTACCGACTCCAGTTTCATGGGTAATTATAAATCATGTCACTAGGAGATTACCTTAGCCAAATTTTTTGGGGAGTGAAAAGTGAAATTCAATTTTATTTTAGCACTTTTTTTCCAAGGAATATTAAACGTAATTTAATTAAGCAAGGTTGCAGCCTGTCAAAACCCATAACATTTCTAGGTCAGGCAACGTGAGCCAGTTCAAATTTTCACCTTGCGGTTATGGTTAGGCCATTTGTGTATCCTTTAAAAGGGGCTATTTAATGCTGAAGCACGAATCTGGATTCACTGAAATTTCGCACTTAGAATTCGGTGGGAAAAAAACGAGGGGAATTGCGACCTGTCAATAATACTGAAAAAATACTGACGTTTGTATGATTTACAAAATAGGCTTTGGGAAAATCCTGAACTCAGTGTGTTTTTGTCATAATGCACCTCCTCGTGGCCTTCCCCGAAGTCATAACAAGGCAAAAGTAGTGACGCAGGACATACTACTTACTAATTTTCAGTTCCCCGTGTGGTTAAAAGCCCAGATAAGCAAAATGCTGAAACACCACAATGGTGTCATATAAAAGGGATAGCTATATTTTTTTCGCTTAAAACTTGCTTTAAAATGATTGAGATTTTATCGGTTTTTTGTTTTAGCTACACTAAATGATGGTTCCCTTTTTTCCTTCCCCCTCCCCCAATCCTCCTTATCCCGATCCCATCATCTCACCCCTACAAAATGGAAAATAAAATAAAATAATTGGGGAAATTTATGCAAATATAAAAGAGGACAATAAAAAGCTGATTGGACAATGGGATTCATTGATGTCATCAAATTTTATGAGTGGAGAACGGACGTGGATTTTCTATTTTGTGGTTAAAAGGAGTGAAAGACAAGGAAGGCATTTCACCTACCGTCATGTGGTTTATAACATCTAAAAATCTGAAAAAATGCAGCAAATACAGTCTTTGATGGCCGAAAAACCTCATATATCCGCCTGCTTTCAGCTGTTCAGTTCTCCCACCTCCAAAGGTATGCAACCACGAGGGGGAATATTTATGAGGGGAGTAGACATGTTGGAATATTTTCACCTTATTAATTTTTTTTGGCTAAAAATAATTGCTTTCAGATATGAAAATGCAACTTGAAAGAAATGGTGTAATAAGCAGGCCGCGAAAAGGTGACGAGGCCTCCTCCTCGGTGGTAGGCATCGGCTTCAACGGATCCTCTAAGTCAATGAAAAAGTTCAGATGATGGATATGCATCTGGTCGGTATTCAGGAATATCAAGACCACCTGCAAGACAAACTGGGAAGATGAATAATATTTCTTAGAGGTCTCTCTAAACGCCATTTATTTGTATGCAGAACTGAAAATAGGGGATTTTGAAGAGGTCTATGATGCTGTTTCAACCCTCCTGAAGTTCAGTTCACATATTTGGGTTTCCAGCGTGTGTCGTGACTGTTTACCTCTCTCACCAACATATTTCCCCTAAACTTTCTTGAAGCTACAGTAGGGCTCGCCAATTGCGGAGACTAATCCAGAGCTCTAGAATGAGGCGGGTCGGAGAGGCTCACAGATATGGCCCTCGGGGACCGGGGTAGAGGGTTCCCAGAACATCCCTGATCGTAGATTGTCCACTTTCAAGTTAAACGCTATCCGAATATTCTCAGTGGATTGTTAAGTTAACTCCCCGAAAAACGAGATCCTTATCCGTTTGCAAAGTACAAAGCCACAAATATCAGCGCTGGATTGCCATCCCCTGTCACGACGATTTAATTATCCCCCAGAAACGCTTTGCTAGGGCGTGAGATTGTACTCTGATCTTTTGCCTTCTAATAATAAACAATAACCTTTGTTCCCATCAGCTAATAAAATCGACAAATAATATTTTTAAGTTTGGGATGAAAGGGCACCAAGAAGTGGGGATGTAGTTACGATGTCTGCCCTTCACTTAGGTAATGGGGACTTGTCAAGGCCCACCAGCGTATCTAATGTGGTTGATTTTTCACTGTAGATAGGAGGGAATAAGTGCATCCCTGTGTTGGTAGGGGGAAGGGGAAGACTAGAGGACAACCTTTGGATAGTTTTGCGTCCAGACCAAGGTTACATGGCACGGGCCAGATAAGCGCATGTTTTTTGGGACCCTGTTGCTACGATGAGGTCGCAGCAACCTCCCATACTCTTTGGGACTCCTAAATAACCATCACAAGTTGTAATTTTAGGTCAAGTCCGTTGTTTAAATGAACCGATTTCGTGGGGGGGGGGGGGATTTCAAAAACAGATAAAAAGGTAATAATCTGTTCCCCTTGGGATAAAAGATAATCTTTTATGTGTGTCCCTTTTGGCTGTGATAAAGTGATACATTACCAGATTTTTAGCCCATCTATTAGGAGATTGGGGTAGAAAGGATCCCTTGGGACTGCTTCCATCGCCGATGATGCCTTGGGAGGCATCAGACGCATCAAAACAGCCAAAATTGGTTCTCTCCAAGCGTTCAATCAAATTTTGAGTATTTAATTTTTCAGAGGACAAAAACAGCATATTCGCGTTTCTTGTCTGTGCTTTTTCATAAAAAAAAAGCCTAATCAAGTTATATATGGGGAAAAAGGAGTTAAGCGAAGCTGCCTAAGAATTTTAACAGTCGGTTTTAAGACAAAAATATTTTTCCCTTCCTTTGGCATCATTTTGTCCGCAAAAACATGGAAAAAAAGGTTGGAAGTTGGCGAAGACAACTTCAGGTCTGGGTTTTTAAAGAAGCTCCAACAGTCGTGTCACATATGATATGACAGCTGCATCAAATGTCAAGTTGGATTGCAAAATGGCGACGATGAGGTTAAACTAAGGGTGACTCTAGCCTCCTTTTTTTTAGAAAAAAAATTCTTTAGTGTGTAAAACTAAAGTGCAGAAATTCTGTGAAGATGAAAGGTCAGCCGGTGGTAAAACTGGACCAAATTGGGGGAAAATAAGAGTAGTTTGTCAGGCTCTCTGTTAAAATAGGGTAAATTTGAATGACAGTTTAACATTGTTGAAGAGCAAAAGAGTTGCTACGACGATTGATGACAGCGGAACCGGTCAGCTGCGGTAATTGGTCAGAAGTACACAGCATGATCTGATTGGACAGAGCAGTTCAGTCAACTTGCATACACGATCAACGGAAAGGGTTTGGGGTGGAGTGAAGAAAGAAAGACCAATGGGGAGGGCCAATCTGCCCAGACACGCCACCACATGCACAACACATAGTCGATGCTTAGATGATGACTTCGATGACGACGACAATGACGACGTTGCCAACGCTAGTGACGAATGAGACAGCGGCGGAACCGACTTTACCACTGATCGATCCGCATAAATTGTTTGTCTATTCAAACTCCTGCGATCCGCGGCTCTTGGGGAATTATGATGCTCAGCAAGACGTAGTGTCGGACAACTCGCACATCGCACTGTTAGTGTTTGCAGCGATTGCGGTGGTGTTGGAGGCAGTGGCATTGGTGGTGCTCACCCGCCCAGCAGCCACTCGCTTTGGATCCATGCAACGCAGCCTCGTGGCGCTCACAGCCATGGAGATGTGGCTCAACACCACTATCTTCGTACACAAGGCCTGGGAGGAGTACTTTACCACACGACACGAGAGGCTGTCCGAGTTCTGCTTCTCCTTCGTTCTCTTCTCCGGCCTCAATAGCGCCATCTGCTCGCGCAACTGGGTGGTTACGCTGATCGCGCTGGCTCGTTGCGAGGCTATCACACGACCCGTGGCGACCCGTGTCTCCACGCACATCTTCAGTCCACAACGACAGCTCATCTACATTGGCGTTCTTATCGTATGTGGTATCGCTCTCTCCACTTTCCGGCTGGTCATTCGTCAGGTCCTCATATGCACCAACCTTGACAATGTGGTGCTCCACATTCGCAGCGATCAGACCTCCCGGCTTCAACTCATTAGTGAGAAGATCTTCTTTGCCTACCAATCTGCCATTCCCATTACTGTGGTGACTATAGCAACGCTTTTCATGATAGTGGTGTTGCTGCGGCATCGCATGCCTTCAGAAAGACGAAAAGAGCAACAGCGGAAAGTAGAGGTAAGGGAGACTCAAAAGGAGGGAGAGAAGTGGAAGCGTTGGCGTTGTTTTCGATGTGGTCGATTAACACCGAGAGACGATGGCGGCGGATGCGTGGTGCCGTCGTTACAGGCGGTCCGTCAAGCACAGCGACTGCCCAACCAGATACGCGCTACACGTTTTATCCTCTTTATCGCCACCATTTTCATTGTCTGTGAGGCGCCGGTCTTCTTTGCTGTCATCTGTGCGAACAGTATGTCTCCGACTGTGGTGATTAGGGTATTTACTTACTTGCGCTTCCTCATCATCGCCGACTCCTTTGCCAACTTTGTCATCTACCTTCTCACCAGTCGTCCCTTCCGTGTGGAGTTGGTGAACCTGCTGACGTGTCGAAGAAAACGAGATCTTCTCAATTCCACCAGTCTGACCACTTCCATTCAACCTCAACCCTCAAGGACAAGTGTCCAACAGAACTAGACGCATTGCTGTGATCATCCCTTTCATCCCTCACCTCCCTCCTCTTTCTTTCAAGTTTTTATATATATATCTCCCTCTGATTCCGTCACCCCATCCCTCCAGTCGATGTAAACGCAATGCTGCCAAACGTCAAATTATTGGATAATGTCACCTATTGTCAGTGGTGCTCTTCTTATTTTACATATTTATGACAAAAACCAGTTAAAAGGATTTGGGGTGAGTGATACCTGCTCGATGTGTCTAGTGAGATTATTAAAGCTGCCCCTCAATAAAATGCATTTCTCTAGACTCTTAAATCTCCTTTTCCGCGTACTACTTAAAACTTATAAGTAGATTTCTGGTGACGAAGAAGACAAATTTGTGGTAAAAATGTTGTTTAATTCATTTTACCTGTATAAAAATTATCCGCTCACATGGAATCTTTTCCCTTTCTACATTTGACCCAGTGTGCAAGCAAATGCCACAAATTACCCCTCTTTTCTCCCTTTTTTGTGCCACATTTATTCACCGCCTCCGAGGCGTAAATAGGCTGTTTTTGTGTCTGCACGTAAAGAAAAAAGCTAAACTTGCTTAAATTTATGGTGAGAGCTCTTCCCTCTCTCCTTAATTTAACACCTTCTTTCCGCATGAAATAAGATCTCAAAGGCTTCGCTTGATTTTGTGAAAGTGCTCTTTTCTCAGTCATTAATTCAATACCTCCCTCCCCCATCGGGTAGGAACCCCAGAGCTCCGCTATTTAAAGCCTATTCGAGGTTCTTATTTTCTTGCTGTCTAATATACTGTTAAAATGTGGACATATCGAAGAAGCTCGTCACTGACCTGCTCTACTTTAAAACTCCGAAAAAAAATCCAAAATAACGAATAAAATTAAAAGGGGACGAATGTATAAAGGAAGTTTGGGAAATTTTTTTTCCCATAGGGAAACGCGGAGAGCTTTTTGTGCTTGATACATAGGATTGTAATAAGATCTTGATGTCATAGCTCGTGGTTTATGTCGCCAATTGCGTGGTTTCAGTAGTCCTTCAATTAAGATCGCTCCTCATTTTATGGGCCTCCCTTTAATGATATTCTTACCTCAAAAACTTTGTAGCCTCTAGCATAAGTCATTTTTTTGTCTTTCCTACTTTTTTGGATAATTTGTTCGACGTGCGTTGACGTACATAATTGCGTGGGCGCATATCACCAAGCCAACGACAGATTGAGCGTTATCTACGTGGGGGAAAAACAGTCGTGCGCTTTTTGACGTTTCTTGATGGTATGGCCTGTTATAACTTATAGGAACTAGCAAAATGCCAAATATTGTTTATACCTGCGCTCTCCACTCTTTGGTGGATTTAACTAGAGCGGGTCGGTCCTAAAGTGGGAGAAACTTACTTAAGTAGATAAATACATCATGCTTCAGGGGACTCATCCGTCTGTGAAAGAAAAGTAGTTGAACCTACAACGCTGGATCTCAGGAGTTTAGCAATTTGTCCTTCACCTCATTATTTAGCAGAAGCGCGCCAGTACTTGGCAGATTGTTTACCCGACTGATTGATTGAAGGATGCATAATGAGAAACGACTTTTGTATTCGACATTAGACATTTAGATGTGGTCAAATGACTCATTTCGTTTATTTAATGTATTGCATAACATAATTTTACAGCTCAGATTGATCCACTCTAGGTGATACAAAAAGAGTGCGAAAGATGAGAAGAGGGAAGGGAAATGGTGCTCTCCTCCGCTAGTTCTCCTGGTGACCATCATCGTGTCTCGGTATTTGCCAGTTGGGTAGTAAAATACAATGGAAACAGTTAGATTCTATCTCTGTTTGTCAAAACAAGAAAGTTTGCAGGCAGTGTGATTGTTAGTAAATTTGTGCCTCACTAAGTGACAAAGATTCGCTGATTGAATTTTTGTTAATTCTAGAACACAAGGCTAACTTGTTTCACACAAAACCATAAATATAACCACGAAGCAAGTTTCATGTTCTTTCACAACTGCACTCATGGCTAAAAGCAGTAACACCCGTTGACACGTACCTCAGTGTTCATTTCTGGGGAATCTCGCCTCTTTTGTCGAGATAAAACAGTCACGGTTGAGCTATACCTTGTTGCTAGGGCCTTGAGAATATTTTAATGACTTCTTGAAATAATCCAGTGAGTTACTTTGACATTAAACCGTAAACTAAGACATCGTTGAAATGAATGTCGGAGTTAAACAGACCGCAGGTAAAAAATTATAAAGGTGAGTATCATCAGTCTAAGAACATCTTGCATCAACAAGCCACTTGAGGACACACGATTAAAGACAATCTGTTATCACAAACGGATAAAGAATCGTTTGTCGCATATGTGCGATGTTGATGTCCGAATTAATGACTAACAGCTAATTACTGGAAAATGAGGTACACAACCTACTCAGAAAGACCATGCAGTGGCATACGATAGTGACACAAAACAAACACCCTGTGTTCAAAAATAAGCCACAAATTCTAAATTATTTTGGACACCTTATAAGGCGTAATTCTTCGTGCAAACTGACGCTAGTATTCAATGCTTTATCATGATTTTGGATTTGTCAATCTCTAAAACGTTAAAGAAGGTCGAAAAACGCGAGACTGAAAAGAGCGAAATTGCTATCACCTTAAGTGTGCGTTGATGACATGCAAGCAGGAGGTGGTGACTGCATTGGTTTTTAAATCTCGAAATTTTTTCTTAACAGATCCTACCATAAAATTCTTCAACTTGTGATGCCTCATTATGCATTTATACTGACTCGGTAAATCTATTTAAATAACAGTGGTTGATTTAAACAAGCATATCAAGTTATGCTATTCCATCAGGATTTTAATTAACGATCAATTATTTAGGCATTCATAAAAGCAGAATAGAATTGAAAAACTTTCCAAAAATTATGTTGTATTTTGACACTTTTGGACGAAATACTCCCCAATTTGACTTTGCATAGATTTACAGCTTGTCAGATTGTCTTTACATAATTGAACTTAAAATCAATTAGCAAAAAAACGCGAGTACTAATAGAAAGTCACATTTTGTCAGGATGAGCAAAAAGTTGGGTTAGCCCTTACTTTTCGGATCGCCGCCACTGGATGTTACTTATGTTAGGCAGAAGTGATCTATTCTTAAATGCAACTTCTCATCACGAGTGCTACAAAAGTAGATTTTCTTTCAGAATTGCAGTTTTGACTGAGTTAGGCAAATTTTGGACAATTGAAAATCCCATCTCACTGTCATTGTCCTTGTATACAAATGGATTTGCACTGAAAGGATGGCCTTTTGTCTAAAACGGCAGAACAAATGAGCCATCTTAGTGTTCCACCAGGGGACATCAAAGAGGGTGCTGTTTGTAATGGCAGTGAAATGGTCCATCTCGGTTGTGTCACGTGTTTGATGCCATTTTAATAACTTGGTGCTCCTAGTAGTTTTAATGGAAGGGTTTTACCTAGATCGAGGGCTTTACATAGTAGCTGAATGTGTCCAGAAATAACTGCCGAGACTGCAAGTTGAGAGCGTCACCGCCACCATTACCATATCCCTCTACCGAATGAGTAAGCCTCCCATCGCCGTACTTTGCTGTGTCTGCAGGTCTTCGTTGACAAGCATGCTGTTGCCTGCCTGTTTTTCTGGATTGAATTTAGTTGGAGCTGGACTGTACTCGAAACATTAAGGGTGCGGATTAAACAGACTCCACCACGTGACTACCACATCGCTATTTACACCTGTCAAGTGGGAAGTCGTCTAGTTGTCGAATCTAAGCAGTCAGTGGTTGTAAATAACTGCAACGCTTAAATTATATTCTTCAGTGTAGGTAATTTCCTAATTAACTATATATGGAAGCCTCAAATTCATCTCCCCTTTCTCTCCCTCTAAAAGTCTTCCTTCTAATGCCAACTTATTCTTTCCACAGAAAGAAGACTTTGTCTACTAATAGACACATATGAGAAAAAGGGAAGAGATCTCACACGTCTTGCGGCATGTTTCAAGTCTTCACTGTAAACTCGACTGGTCATGCGATGCTAGGGTTGACATCACCCTTCGCATCATCTTCAGCTTGGGGAGGTCTGTCTCTCGAAAAGCGGTGGAATAGATGGACAGCATCGTTGTCTAATGCAACCGAGTAAAAGCATATAAGTCGATCGTATTTATAAATTGCCAAGCCTCTGGTTAGACTTACGATAACAGCGTCAGTTATTGCGCCTAGTTACGGTTGCTAAAAACCTCAGAAATGGAGGAAAAAAATTGGTTGTACCATTCTTGAAAAGATTTGCACTCATTAGTTTGACATTCAAGAGCCAATTTGGGTCTGATTTTTGGATTTTGGTATTGTGGTAACCATGGTTGCAGTTGGCGTGTTTGACACGACGCAGTTACAACTATGTGATTGGTGATGTGATTAAATCGCCTCCTTATATCGCCGATGTTGCCTCCTTGGTGTGGTCCAACTGTGGCAGGGAGAACTTAAGCCGTGAAAGGAAATGCTATTCGTAGACATGGCCATTTCTTATGTGAATGCGACCTTTGATTGTGTGACCAAACGGGCTTAACTAGCCCATGAGTGTGGTTGTATTTAATCTCAGGGGCATTTATAGTCATTC